ACACAGGTTAACACAAACACAGAAGAAACAAATACACATACCAAACATCCATGCTTTGTGGGGGATTCGAACCCACAACCACGGCTTCCGAGCGAGCGAAGACAGTACATGCCTCATACCGCTCGGCTTCCGTGACAGGCAATCATTGTTCCTAAGTGTATGGTATTCTCTCAATTCCTTATACTCCGCATAAATATTTTACTAAAATATCAGTGCAAAAATATGGAGAGAAAATATTTTTAAATTGAAAATTTCGAACCAGTTGTTTCTGATAAAATTAGTACATTGATAAATTGGAATTATAATAAAAAATTGTGGCACTACAAAATCAATTTTTTTCACTTTTACAACTTTCCAATATTACGATGAGCATAACATATGCAAATTTTCTAGCTGGTCCCTTAACGACACTCGGTATCTCGATTGTACAGAGCCACACGATAAGATGATGAATGCTGAATAGTTGGTGGAATGTGAACTGGCAAAATGGATCTTAGAGAGATAGGATGGGATGGTATATACTGGATCGTTCTGGCTCAGGATAGGGACAAGTGGAGGGTTCTTGTGAACACGGTAACGAACCTTCGGGTTCCATAAAATGCTGGGAAACTCTTGAGTAGCATGCACAACTGGCGGCTTCTCAAGAAGGGCTCAGCTCCGTGAACGAGTGAGTGAGGGCTGAAAGTTAGTTGTGGAGCATTAAGCATATTTATGGCCCGAAGCATTTAGCAACTACACCAAGTTTTGGAAGACCCATATCAAAGTGAACTACGGAGCAGTTGATGTATGTGAAGAGATGTCTGTAAGAAGAACACGCATGTGTTGCTGTCATGTGACGTGTGATGTTCAGTCTGCTAATTGCATGAAAACTCTTACAAACTGAACTTTAATATTCCTTGACAGCGGGCAGGACAGTGACAGTTAAGATTTGTGTGATGGATCCTTCCTCTATAGCAAGTTTCTATTTTTGCATAGAACACCCATCTCACTTTCCCCTGTTAGGATTTTTAAAATGGACAGAGTGACCATCTCCAAAGTTGGCAAACTGCACTGAAGTTCTGCAACAGATGAAATTAATGTTGCGACGTCAGGTTGCAGTTCCTCAAAGACAGTGTAAACATGAGGCATAATTTTGTTTGCACAGCTCTTAACGTAAAGAAGAGTCAGGTTCATATAGTTCCAAATTTATTTCAGAGTTCGTTGTAAAGCGGACAGGGATGCATTACAGAGAATACGTAAAAGCCGGATAATTTATGTAAGGTACTCTACTGTAATTTGTTGAGCTGCTTCCTGTAACTGACACTATAAAGGTAAAAGGTAAAATTGTCCCTGTGCATAATTCATTAAGCACTACGCCATGATGAAATATGGGGGACTGGATGTATAGATCCACATTTTCTTGACCTCAGCACTAGCTGGAGGTGAGTGGTCAGCTTCACGCCCCTGCTGTTTTTTTCCTTGGCACTACAGCCCCAGTGGGCCTAGGCCTACCTCCATGAACTTCTCGGTTCACTTCTGTTTTTCTAGATCTTACGCATTCGGTAGGACTCCTTGGGCGGGTGATCAGCTCGTCGCAAGGCCTCTACCTGTACGCAGACACAGAAACACGCACACACACAAACTAAACATCCATACCCTGAGTGGGATTCGAACCCACGATCCCGGTTTCCCAGCGAGCGAAGACAGTACATGCCTCCGGCCGCTTTACCTCCGGAGGAAGAGCCCCCGGCACCCATTAGATAAGAGGTTGTGTGGATTACAGAGCCTCTTTGGACGATTTCGAGAAGAGAAAATTCTTGACCCTACCGGGACTCGAACTCAGACCCTTCAGTCATCCAGCTCGTAGGCAGTCGCTATACCGACTACGGTACCCCGGCTAGATGTTGATTTAAATACAAGATATATAAACTCCGTGGCTTTAGTCCGCAAGCGAACTATAATGACCGAGCGACCACCTCTTGTCGGCGAGTTAGTGCCAACTTTAGCTGATAGTGGGTGTCGCGTGGTCAGCGCAACGATTCTCCACGGCCGTTAATTTCGGTTTTCTAGACCGGAGCCGCTATTTCATTGAAAAAGCTCCTCAATTATCCTCACGAGGCTGAGTGGACCCCGTTCTAGACCCACTACTTCTCAGAAAATCTGGTAACGCCGGGAATCGTACCCGGGACCTCTGGATCTGTAGTCAGGAACTCTGACCACTGGACCACAGAGGTGGTCAAATGCAAGATATACATGAACAAAAAGTTAAAAATTAAAGATTAATTTTAATTTTCTAATTATTAAAATTAATTTAAAATTTCGTATGCTATATTCAGCTCAGTGTCTGTTGCTGTAGTAGATCACGCATCTTTTCGTCTGATTCCTCTATTGTTGCTTATATTCGTTTGTGTTCTCTGTTTCTTGAGCACGAATTTATCTTCTTTCCTATTACCAGGATGTCGATCCATATTAATTTGTGTATTATTTATTATTACAATTATTATCATTTATTATTACAATATTTTTATAGTTACTTACTGTTACTGTTGTTGTATTGTAAAATTTTAAGGAAATTTCCTTTTCGTTTCTGAAACACTGATTTTGAACACCATGTTCACAATACCATCGCTTTCCGCATGTACAAGACCGTTTATTCAGTATATTCTCAACCTCTGTATCTGGGTGACTGGAGGTCCGTGATTTGATGACGCGACGTATCATCGTGATGCGAGATTCAATTTTCCACTAAGCGTATTCTTTCCTATGCAATTCAATACTTATATTCCTGTTCTTATATTACATGCCTTTCGAAAGCAAAATCGTATTTCGTTTTTAATCCAATAGAATTCATGACCAGGCTTTAAAAATATAATTCCAGTTCTGTTCGAGTTTTCAATGATTTAAATTTTCAATACGTTTGCACGGAGGCTAATATTCTCATGAACTTTGACATATATTAATACGACAGGAGTGACTATTCTTGGCGAGGCCTATGGAAAGCGTATTTACTGTCTCTGGAACCAGCTTTGTAAATAACTAGCAATCCTGTCGAATTCATTTCATGTTACGTATGTACGAGTATTAATTCCAGAAGACTACGTCTGATGTACTGTGATAAAGAAACTTTGGAGAATAATGCAAAGGATAGTTTATTAAAAATGTTATATTTTAGCGTCCTGTTGCACTGATTTAAGTTCATGATTTGTTTAATCCGTCTTGCAGTGCGTACACTTATCTATCTTCTTCTCTCACTCTCACTACATGTTTCGGCATAAAAATGCCATCTTCAGGTGCTACTCAATTCACGTCAAACTAGTACATTGTATGCCTTGTCTTCACTTTAAAATAACTAAAATATATGTCCATCATATATATTGACAAATGTCAATCGTAAAAATATTAAAACTGTTCAGGATTCCCGATCGCTACGTCGTATCTTATTACGCCAGTCATGCTCATCCTACTCTGTTGGAGCTCTTCTTCCCTATCGTGTGTATTGTGTTTCTGTTGCGTCTTGTTCTCGCGACTGCGTGCGTTATGCTGTTGGGTCTGCTTGCACTGCAAGACGGATTAAACAAATCATGAAATTAGTTTATTAAAATCGTGAATATCATATACATTTCTTCCTCGCCATGAATTAGTCTCGTTATATATTTATTCCGACACTGTATGTGTGAATCCTTTGACATGTTTAAAGATCTGAAACTTGGTCGGCTTTATATAAATGAATCATGTAATTTTTCTTACTAATTCTGTCACTTACAGAGCCGGGATAGTGCAGTCTGTATAGCGACTGAGTACGGGTCGGAGTTCGAGTTCCGGAGAGGAAAGAATTTTCACTTCTCCACATATTAGAAACTCTGTCAGTGATGAGCGAAAAGATGGTTTATCCATGTCATTATTATAATGACCTGTTGCTGATGCTGGTTGGCGTGCAATTTAATGCTCCGCTTGGTTCACTGTAAGGCCACTCTGAGTTTCTGAAGCCCGCTTGGGTTATACATATGCACCCAGAACTGTACAATGTTACTAAACATTTGCTGTGTAATGAGTGTGACACCAAGACTCATCTGTAAATACGATTGGTTTCTCATGCCTCATTTCACTGTTACTTAAGGTCTTCAAGTCTGTAATATTAAGGAGAATATGATTAAGTCACTAAATATCACTTTTCTGGGGGGGGGGGAGTTAGATATTTAAGCAATAATATACTTATCATAATCTTTATTGTGTAAGTGAGTGGAAATTATTGTGTTTAAAGACATAACCTGATTTAAATTAGTCCTCTTATTAAGGAGAAATTTACCAAGAATTTATCTCATTTTGACCATTTTTTGACTAACTTATATCTCATGGCGAGCAAAAGTATTTAAACTTTTACTAGTATAAATCATTGGTTTCACATTTCTTAAAACTGAACCCCATTCATTTCATTGTTTTCCGAAATGTTTTATTTTCCCCTTGATATCCGATTTTACTTTTTAAGAAGATCTGTAATTTACGAAAAGTAAGAATGTCTTTGTTTAGCTCAGAGTATACTAGAAATGTTCTTCGCACAACACACTTTTCGATATACGACAGTGAAGTTTTTTTTTCACTCTCCATTCTTTCTGTATTTGTGATTTACTGTGCAGGTATGGGGGCGCGCGATAGCTTAGTTGGTTGAGGTGCTATGCTACGAACCGAATGGTCGCGGGATCGAATCCCGATGAGGTCATTTGATTTTTCAATCGACCTAATACTTCCAGCTGCTCTATGGCCCTGGGATCGACTCAGCCTCTAACAGAAATGAGTACTAGGAATATTCCTGAGGGGTAAAAGAGTAGCCGGCGAGTAAGGCTGATAACCTCACCTCCATCTGTATGCCGACTGTCTAGAAGATGTGGGAGCCTTGACAACTCACACTCTTATGGACCTCCACGGCCTGTTACAGGGACAGCTTTACTTTTACCTTTTACTGTGTAGGTATAGGGCAGGCGAATGGCTGATACCCCGTCCATGAGTACTAAATAATATTTAGAAATTCTTTGAAAACCGGAAAAAAATAGGATTTGTTCAGAAATAGATGATAATAATACAAATTAGAAATAAATGTGCATTAGCCATTAACCGTATTATGTGCTTCCTTTAAACATTGATAGAGAAGGTTACACGGTTGGGATTACGTGATCTATTGAACCCAGAACTGCTGAAACAGCGCTGCCGATGGAGGTATCTCTGTTGGAGGCCACGTCGAGGCATGTTGCGGTGCATGCACAGCTCTGTGGCTAGGAGCACGCTGGCCAACACGAGGCTCGCAGAGAGGACCGCAAAAACCGGTACCACCTCTCCAAACCTCACTTTTATCAGGGTGGTTGATGATGTGCCGCTAATCTTCGACGGCATCGCATGAACAAACATCCTCCCGAGTTCTCCGTGTCGTCGCATTTCCTCCAAACTGCACACAGAGCAAACTGGGATTATTGACACTTATTTCTGACCGGATATGTCGAAAACTTGTTAGTACAACTCTTTCCATGTGTGGGATTTCTGTTGTAATACATGATCAAGTTCTCATGTATTGGTTGTCAGAAAATAGAATTGAATTTTTTACCTCTTATTTATATTAGCCTCCTTATCTATTCCTGGATTATTTAACTATACTATTAGTGGCTCAGAATAAAGAAATCGAGATTTGACAACACTCTGTACTTTGCAACACTGCGCCAGTGTCTGCCTGCCCGGTTTGCGGCATTTCTTTCAATCTGTGAACCTACTGCAGCCCACCTGAGATGTTGGTTGCAACATTTGCGAAAATGAAGCGTTAAATTGGCTTATGTTATAGGGCACAGGAAAACCATTGCCTCTTATTCTGTAACCCAATTATCTAAACATTTTTTTTCCTTGGCACTACAGCCCCAGTGGGCCTAGGTCTACCTCCATGAATTTCTCCGTTCACTTCGGTTTTCTAGATCTTACACATTGGGTAGGATTCCTTGGGCGGGTGATTAGCTAGTCGCAAGGCCTCTCCCTGTGCACAAACACAGAACAACGCACACACACAAACTAAACATTCATGCCCTGAATGGGATTCGAACCCACGATCCCGGTTTCCAAGCGAACGAAGACAGTACATGCCTTAGACCGCTCGGCTACCGTGACCGGCATCTTAACATCTACCAATTAATAATTACGTGCCCTTGCTCCGGTAGATCAAACTGCGAATTTCGTCGAACGGTAGGGTGACAGATAATAAGTCGGCAAGAATGTGAAAGGAAGCCGTCACGGCATTACTTAAGGTACTCGGCTGGAGGGACTGAGGGGAACAACGGAAAACCTGGGTCAGGATATCAGTTAACCCGGCAAAGATTCTAACAGGGCACCTACAGATAAGCGTTACCGTCTGAGGTAACTTCTTCTGTACACTGGCTTCGTGACGACTGAGGAACAACTATAAGCACAATTTACAGGAAAATAATTTTTCCTCGTGGCAACCGCCTCTGTGGTCTAGTGGTCAGAGTTCCTGGCTACAGATCCAGAGGTCCGGGTTCGATTCCCGGCGCAACCAGATTTTTCTGAGAAATAGAGGGTCTGGAACGGGGTCCACTCAACCTCGTGAGGATAACTGAGGAGCAATTTCAAGGAAATAGAGGCTCCGGTCTAGAAAACTGAGATTAACGGCAGTGGGGACCCGCGACACCCTCTGTTCGTTAAAGTTGGCACTAACTTCGCCGACAAGCGGCGTTAGCTCAGTCGGTATAGATCGCTTGCGGACTAAAAAAAAACAAAGACGACGATGGCAGAGGAAACGCCCAGTTGTTTTATTTCATGTTTTATTGTTAGCAGCGGAAATGCCAAAGAAACGACGTTGCAGTGCGTTCCGTAAACTTTCTGTTATTATGCATAAAATTAAGCGGTCCCACCATCGAGGGAACTAGAGTCTTCTGGTTCTCGTTATAAGATTTTTCATACTATAGTCCCCTGAGCTGTGACGATGTGCAGTCAAGTATGTGACAATCAAAGTGTCATAGTAACACTGGCTCCATCTTCATGGTAGCAGAGCAGACTTCACTGCGTTTCTTATGAATTTCATTTTTATTTAGCATTATCTCTGACCTACTATTTCTTCTCTCAGGCCATTGTATAACGAAAATCTAAACTATTTCATATGTCCTGCAAAAGAAAAGAAAAGAAAGGCTTAACAATCTTATATAAAAATATTAAATTTCCTGTTATACAAGCAGCAGTTTACGTACGCTGATTTTCAGCCATCTTTCCTGCTCAATCTTATGCTCGATCTGTGTTTCTCCTACGTCGTTTCTTGCTTGCAGTTTGTCACTTCTGACGTCATTAGTTTTTTTGAGGGATAAAGCCCATCGTGTGTCTTCGTTATGTTCTGGACGTGCTCATGTTAAAATACTTTACGTCACTGATATTTCACTGAAGAAAAACGCAGCCCAATTAGTGTCTTCAGTTTCATTTGTCCCGCTTCTTATTTTGTGTCATTCGTCACATACATGGCTGCAGCTATGTCCCCTTCTTTCGTCTTCAACAGATCACGACGTATTGTCTTATCGAAGCACTTATTTTTCTCTGTTTCTTTCTTATATAGTTACAAATTATTCTTTAAATTCTCATAGTGGGGTGGAGTCCAACTGGGTCCACTCGGCACGGCGGCCACTGATTGACTTATTGTACCTGCCCCGGTTGATTATGACGAGGGAGAAATTGGTGGAATAAAGATTGGCAGGGGAAACAGAAGTACTCGCAGAAAACCTTCTTGAGCGCCACTTTGTCCACAAGAAATCCCACTTGACCAGACCCGGCTCGAACCCAGGCCGCTGCGGTGGGAAGCCAGCAACTAACCGCCTTCTTTTTTATATAAGTCAACGAGGTTATTCACTTTATTATCAGCTTAGACTTTTCTGATTTTCTTAAAAAACATTTGGAATTTCCTTCAGTAAATCTTGTTTTATAGTAATATTTCATGTTGTGTTTGACTTCATTTTTGATACAGTTGGGCGTGGCGAACAGTATGAAAGTGGCCTATAACTGATTTTTAAGAGATATGTAAACTTTCGAAATCATGAAACGACATATTTTTAAGCAATTTTTTTTTCGAAATATGAGCCACGTCAATTCCATCGTCGTGTTCGTATTTTCTTGTCGCTATATGAGAAGACCTGCCAAGTGCTTCGACTGTCTCCGACGATTATAACTGCAAGCAGAGTAATTGACGTGCTCCATACTGTGCCAACTTTAATAAACAGAGGTGAAAATGTGAGTGCATGATAAAATGGCATAGCTGTAACTGAAATTTTCATAGTTCTAAATTATTTTTAATTTGTTTCATTCTCGTACGTCACACTAACAATTACAAAGACAAAACAGCTGCGTCCAGTGCAACTATTTAAGCCTTCACCACTTGAAAACTTAGTACCCTTACATGTTTCGGCGCTTACGGGCCATCTTCAGAGGGAACATCGGTACTTATTTGGAAACTACAATCACAATTGGTGTTCTGAGTGCTAAAATACATACACACATAACACATAGAATGCACAATATTCACAAATCCAACTTTTTCACAGTCAAAGCAGCTCTCCTGATATATTGAAGTTTTTAAAACTTCAATATATCAGGAAAGCTGCTTTGATTGTGAAAACGTTGGATTTGTGAATATTGTGCATTCTATGTGTTATGTGTGTATGTATTTTAGCACTCAGAACACCCATTGTGATTGTAGTTTCCAAATAAGTATCGATTTTCCCTCTGAAGATGGCCCGTAAGGGCCGAAACATGTAAGGGTACTAAGTTTTCAAGTAGTGAAGGTTTAAATAGTCGCACTGGACGGAGTTGTTTTGTCTTTGTAGTAAATTACTTCTCTGTGTATTCTAGTTCTTTTGTCTAATGTTAATTATGTTCTATTCTTCCTCACGAAATGAGTATGTTCTGTGATATGGATGTAATACCACTTTTAAGTATGTGCATTTTGTGGGTACACAGGGACCTGAAATCAAGGTAATTAATTTTGTTTTGAACGTGAACTTTTGAAGCTTCAATGTCTTCTACTTTCGTTGTTTCTGTACAGTTTAGTATTCACTACATGAGGTACAGACATTAGAATTTGAATTACTGACGTACCTATAACTAGTTCCTTTGTCTGTGGGACTTTTGGAAATTCTATGGTAATGAATTTTACATTTGAGTGTGATGAGGTGGGATTATTTCAAAATATGAGGTAAAGTTGTCCCCGTGTTCAACGAATTAAGCACTACGCCATGAAGGCGTATGGAGGAGTGTATGTATATTTTCTTGACCTCGGCACTTGCCGGAGGTGAGTAGTCAGCTTCACGTACCAGCCGCTTTATCCCCGGAGAAAGAACACCCGGTACTAATTGGATAGGATATTGGGAGAACCTCAGAGCAGGTCTTAACGATTTGGAGAAGAGAACATTTTTTACCGTACCGGGACTCGAACTCCGTCTCCTCAGTCGTCCAACCCGTAACTACGTTACCCCGGCTCCTATTATTTTAAAGTAATTTAGGATAATTTAGAAATATAAATTGGGAAAGACGTAAGCGAAGTTTGATACTATTAATTCAAAACGTGACCTGCTTATTTAGAGAAGACTAATTTTGGGCCACAGAAGACTGAACACTTCTGTTAAGAGATTGCTGAAAGTCACGGTAGGATCCAGGAAATGTGCAGTAATCATCACTTCGAAAACAATATGTGTAAGGAACCCTAACGTTGGATGACATATAATATAATGAAAGGACTAAGGAAGTGTTTTAAGGCAATAAATCATATCTTTCGGGAATACTGGGTTTTGAGACATTGCTCATCATTTTATGTCCTGAGGAACACTGAGTGGATCTGTGTCCGTCATCCAGTGACGGGGTGGGAGGCACCTACTCTAGTAGTCCGTTGGAAATTACTGACTTCAATCACTGGAAATTTCAATGATTGATGTTAGCTCTTTCTATCGGACCGAAGAGTGTCTCCCACACCCTCACCTGAGAATGGAAAGATTTCCAGTTCTCGAAACGTCGTGTTCTTTAGGATACCGAGCTGTGGGCAAAGTCCAAAAGCCCAGTAATCCGGAGTTTCATACACCACCGACAGACGCCATTATGATCTACTTAAATTACATCTTGCTTCTTGGAATGTGACGCGAAGAGAATTATTTATAACGAAATAGCGTGCATCACCTTACATAAAAGAAACTCAGCAAGCACTAGGTATTGCTGTCTGCCTACTTGAAGTTGATGAGTCTTCGGTAGGGGCTGTGCTTGGCGACGACGAAAGTCCCAGTGGCTGGTATGAAGGCCTCGGGCAAAGCCACGATGTCACATGTGAGGTTGTTCAGGACGCTGTATGCACGCGTGGAATCCACTACAAAACCGTATTTCGGCTGGTCACACACGCGCTGCAGACCAGCCAAGGTGTCAGGGGGAGCATCTTCCAAGGCGGGCAGAATCAGCTTATTGTACACATTCTGCATAACTGTCTCTGTTGCCGTCTGCTGGAACCAATACCCATACACGGAATACTAGCCCAAAAATTACAAGAGTAAACAAAAATATAACACCGCGGCAGGTAGTCCGCAAAGGAACTATACCGACCGAGCGACCGCAGGTTGTCAGTGAAATTAGTGCCAACTTTAGCGGATAGAGGGTGTTGCGTGGTCAGCGCGACGAATCCCCACGGCCGTTAATTTAAGTTTTTTTTAGACCGGAACTAAGAGTAAGCAAGGTTGGAAAAATGTAATTCATATAGAAGTGTAGACTTGCACGTGCATGCTTTCCCTCTTGGCATTCTGAATGGTCCTAACTGTCCCAGATAACTCTGCTGAAGATGATAACAGTATTGTCATGTGTCCGGAGTTCCGTGACTAGTAATAAAGAGTTCTTGATTGGATGATTGGATTTATTGATGCCTTCTTTTACAGTATTTCTTAGCGGCCTCCGTAGTCTAGGGGTAACGTTCCCACCTCATGACTCAAGATACGCGGGTTGAAACCCGGCAGAGGTCGTGGAATTTTTAAGGGCGGAAAAATTCAGGGAACAAGTCCTCCGGGAGGGACTTTAAGCCGTGAGTCCAGTGTCGTAGATTTACGACACGTAAAACATCTAGGAGACCTCTGAGCAAAATTAGTTTTCAGTGTCTCCGGTAGATGGGTAACGAGGCTGATAGTGAGCACCAGTACCGGCAGGGTATGGCGACTGGTAGAATATAAAAAGGGGGAAGTACAATAGACTATTAGTTGCGGTGTATGGGGAAACCCACCCCCTCCAATAATAATAATAATAAATAATACAGTATTTCTTACTTACAACTAATTATAACAGCTCTGAATCAACGACTAAGACTCGCTCCATTCCTTAGTGGACTATAAGTACCTTCTCTTCCACTTGGTTCTGATTTACGAATTGGTCACTTCTTCGGCTTCCGCTGTCGGCCGGTTAACACTCTACAGCTGAACACTCAACTTCTCAATTCTCTTGCGACTGACTGACTGACGACTCACGATTGAACTTAACTCTCGAATCAATTACGTGTTTCCCTTTTATAATTCTGGGCGAACCGAATAGAGATCACCACCTCGAACGATTCGTCTTTATTTCGGTGTCCATCCGTCACTACGAAATGTGTGTCAATCCGAGCTTTAGCGAGCCGTTTCTAGCAATGGACTGTTCCGGCTTTCAGGCGTCATGTATCAATATTAAGTATAACTTTTCTTGCTATATTTACTATGATTCCCACTTTTACTATTTCTTATTGTGGTTCTTATATTTCAGAAATCGGGTTGGTGTCCCTCGCATGCCAAAATTTCCTGCGATTTACCGATATTACCGATCATAAGGAATTCAAATGTGACTCTAGAATTGGCCTCCAATGTCGTAACCTGTCAGTATTCATGAAAGTCAGTCCTGTGCTTACTGTATTGAAACACGTGAACCGATCTCCCCTTTTTATGTTCCGTTTAAGTATATCGTCCGATAGACTGAGGCGTTCGAAGAAGCTAGGTGTCGTTAAGTTCGCCTCATAGCATGTTGTTTAAATAATATTTGGGCCTGTCTGGAACATAAATTTACAAATTATCTTATAGAAATTTTCATTTTATTTTCGATTTTGAATTATATTTTAGTTAGGCTTGTGAATTTAATTTATCTGGTATTAGATAATCAGAGGTGGATGAGCTACGATTGCTCAGTCGTTATAGGAACCAGCTATTCAATGAACGGCTGGGGTTTGATTCCCGACAAGGGCGAACTATTTTCTTCTCCTTCACAGCTCCCAGACCGGATTTTTGACCCACCCGGCCTCCTGTCTAGTTGGTAGAGGGACTCTTTCCCTGGGGGTAAAGCGAAAATGGGGGCGTGATTAATTAATTAAGTAGAAGGAAATCTTTATTTTTTACCTTTTATTTTATAGAAGATCGAATATTGTAGATACGTGTTAAAACGGTACTTTATTGCTGTATCGACAGTGCGAAATATTGAGGTGTTACAGTCTTTTATTTCGTAACGACAATAAACACTGAAATTGCTTTTGTGGGAAATGAATTTCGTTACTTGGGAATAATTCTATTTCTGGTCAGTAAATTTATCGTGAAAGAACACTTTGTTAACTATTAAGTTTTTAATTTAATTCCTCTAATGCAGTCACAGAAGAACTTTTCAGTTCATACGAATTAATTCTGGGTTGCTAAAACTTCGTTTAATTAAGAGTTATCTGTACCTCCAGCATTTCTCACTGGGAATTCATCTTTATTTCCACTCTGATTTTCCAGTTCTTTGCAGTTATTAATGCGAGAGAAATTCATTACGTCACATACATGCAATATAGTTCCAATGCGACAATATGACATAGGAAGAATATACTTTTAATACATAAAGGAAGCAGACAGTATGAAAAGTCTTCAATTCAAATGACATTGCATCAGATATATAAAATTCAAAGAACAATCGGTGTAGCGACTAATTACTGACTGGGCGGCCGAGGTTTCGGAGCTCGAGCCTCGGTAGAGGGTAACCAGGGGGAGGGGGAATCTTGCTCCAGGCGTAAAGCGACCGGAAAGTGAAGCTGACCACTTAACTCCAACTGTTGCTGACGTCAAGAATTTATACATCCACTCCACTATACGCCTTCATGGCGTAGTATTTCATTAGTTAAGGATACTGCAGCGTAGTTGGCTGAGGAACTATGCTACAAGCGGGAAGGTCGCGGGTTCGATTCCCTAATGAGGTCATTGAATCTTTCTAACGGCAAGGCTGACAACCTCACCGCCATCTGTGCCTCACAACTCCATGGAACTCCACAGTCTGTTACAGGGACAAATTTACCGTTGCATTTTATATAAATTTAAACCATAGATGACAATTTTTTATTCATCGAACATGAAATAACGGAATTTCTTCTAGGCCGCATGAAATAGCCTAACGAGCTGTAGATGCTGAACAGTGATCACACTAGTCTCAAGGAGAATGTGATGTGCAGAGCATGTAGCATACACACAACAAAATCTAAAGAAAATTGACCACGTAGGAGACCTAGGTTTAGGCAGTGAGATAAAATTAATTTTACAGAAATAAGATAAGGGAGTGTGGACTGGATTCCTTTGAAACATGGATAAGGAACACTAGTGGATTCCTGTGAGCACGAAACTGGACCTTTCATTTTACTAAAACGTAGGCATTTCTATAGCAGCAAAGCGATGAGCGTCTGCTCAAGAAGAACTTTGCTCTGTCGAAGTAGGTTGCTTAAGGGACCGTAATTACTGTGGGAATTTTTATCCTCGAATGAAATGTAAGGATCATTATGAAAGATGGATCGATAGAAAAGGGCGTGTCACACTTTGATATGTTTTTTTCAGCATTGTTTGGGATGAAGAAAGCAAGTCCTCAGAAAACAGCCAGGTTAGCTGGTGGTTTGGCTGCAGCTCGAAATATGTACTCAGGAATACAAAGGAAGCTTATAGGATTTGGGATTCTCACAGCGGGGATTGTGAAGAAATTTATAGTGCCGTGTAGTCCGTTTAAAGTCAACAGACGTTTCGCATGAACTTATCGCTTACATCTTCAGAGTCGAAGATTAAGCCAAGCAGGTAGGAAACATCTCCCGGGAAGATATCAGAATCATCAAGGTAACATTGCCTTTAACGCCGAGCCTTATACTGAGAGATATTACTGACTGACTGACTGACTGACAAGACACACGTCTGAACCTCGGCATGCGATTTTTCTGAAGTGGGGTGAGACTGAGTCCGCTTGGTACGTCGGCCACTAATTGGCCTACTGTACCAGCCCCGGATGATAGATGATGATGATGATGATGATGATGATGATGATGATGAGTGTGGAGCAGTCTGTGGAATAAGAATTGGCAGGAGGAACCGAAGTACTCAGAGAAAATCTGTCACAGTATCACTTTTTTCACCACAAATCCTACATGATTTGGCCTGGGATCAGAACCCGGGCTGCAACGGCGGGAAACCGGTGACTCACTGTTTGAGTTATGGCACGGCAGGCATTCGGCATGCGGTTAAGTGAAAATGTGAGGGTGGGTGTATGTCCATTGTATTGATATTATTTAGAAGTGTAATGTTATTTTGGATGTAACAGCGTACACTCTCCTAGACATCCGTCAGACTATGCAGCCTCCCCACCAAAAACAAATAGCACTCTTATACTCAACATTATGAGTGTACCAATATAAGATAGCGATTTTGATTTATGGAGTGTAGTTCCTCGGAAGGGCCTGTCGCAGTATTCGCGTGGTCTGAGGCATGAAATGTCTTCGCTCGTTCGGACACTGGGATCGTAGCTTCAAATCCAACTTAAGGCATGGGTGTTTGGTGTGTATGTGTTTATTCTGTGTTTGTGTTCTGTGTGTAGGCAGCGGCCTTCCGATGGGCTGATCACTAGTCCAAGGAGTCCTACTGTTTATGAAAAACGATTACGGAACTGAATGAGAGGCCTTCACCCTGAATGGGCTGGAAGAGCCATTGAATATAAAAGTTCCTAGGACGGATAGGTGGACGGATGAAGGATAATTCTTTTGATTGCTTCATAGTTCATCAGAAAAATTGAATGACAGACGGAGAGTAAGTTCATTTGAGAGATTTAAGGCGGAAGGGGGGTTAATATACAATAGACTCTTCTTTCTTGATTGTCAGACTCATCTGTTAGAAGAGTTCTACCTTCTGGGATGTAACCCCGCGTAATCCGTTGAAAGTCAGCCACAACCTTCAGAACCTCAATTCTTACGTCTCTTTGAAGACCAGTAGAGTCGCACAATGGCCCTGGGCTCCAACCAGACTCTGCCAGAAATGAGTAAAAAGGAATCTCCCTGAGGTTAAAGGGCGGTCGGAACATAAGGCTGAAAAACTCACAGACATCTGTGAGCCGATTATCTACAAAATGTGGGAGACTCGACATCTCACAAACCTATGTGCCTCCACGGCCTATTACGGTGGTAGATTAAAGAGGTAAAGCTGCCCCTGTATTTTGCCTATAGTTCTGTATGGGTGTGGAACTTTGTCTCTGGCATTAAGAGAGGAACATAGACTGAGGATGTTTGAGAACAAGGTGTTGAGGAGAATATTTGGACCGAAGAGAGATGAAGTGACAGGAGATTGGAGAAAACTGCATAATATGGAGCTTCATAACTTGTACTCACTCCAAGTATAATTAAAATGATCAAGTCAGGGAGGGTGAGGTGGACAGGACATGTGGAACGAATGAAGGAGAGGAGGAATGCATATAGGATATTGGTGGGAAAGCCAGAAGGGAAGAGACCACTGGGAAGAGCAAGGCGTAAGTGGGTGGACAATATTAAAATGTATCTTAGAGAGACAGGATTGGATGGTACGGATTGGATTGATCTGGCTCAGGATAGGGCCCAGTGGTGGGCTCTTGTGAAAACGCCAATGAACCTTCGGGTTCCATAAAATGCTGGGAAATTCTTGAGTAGCTGCAGAATTGGCGGCTCTTCTAGAAGGTCTTAGCTCCATAAGTAAGTAAAGCTATACTTGTATTTAAGTAAGCAAGCACTACGCCATGAAGGCCTATAGGGGAGAACCACGTTTTCTTGACCTCGGCAGTAGTTGGAGATGGGTGGTCAGTTTCACGTCCAGGCTGCTTTACCTCCAGGGACCATTGTATAGGAGGTTAGTTGGACCTCAGAGCCGGTGTCAACGACATGGAGAAGTAAAATTCTTGATCATACCGGGACTCAAACTTCGACCCCTCGGTCGTCCAGCTAGTAGCTAGTCGCTACATCGACTGCGCTATCCCGGCTCTACATGTATATATTTCCCTTGCCTTTATACATACGTGCCTATGAAGATGTTGTCTTGAGATGTAACACTTCTGAATTTTACTCGGGAGATGCATGTTTCAGAGCTTAACCGGTACAGAGACTATTCCGGTTGCGATATTTCACGAATTTCCTCAGACTGTTCAGGCATATTCCCGAAATACCTTAAATTACGGTACGGGTATTTTTTTTTATTGCTAGTGGGGTGGGACTAAGTCCCTTGTACAGCGGCCACTTCTGACCTATTGTACCAGCCCCAGATGGTAGGTGAGGGTGACTGTGGAGCAATTGGTGGAATGAAGATTGGCAGGGGAAACCGAAGTACTCGGAGAAAATCTGCTCCAGCGCCACTTTGTCCACCACAAATCCCACTTGACCAGACCCGGGATCGAACCCGGGCCGCCGCGTTGGGAAATCAGCGACTAACGTCTTGAGCTATGGCGCGGCCCTGGTACGGGGCTTCCTTTCCAGTTTATTACTAAGTAACGTCCCATAATTCGCCCTTCCATGGTCGGAGTTACTGCGAGAGACGTTAAGTAAATACATATATACACTTACATCGAAGAAACTAAGCTCGACGGATCGCTCAAGTATTCCCAGCTTGAACGTGCCGTCCTGTAGAATGCCCTCGAATGTGGTGAAGGGCAAAGAGCTGTGCCGAACGGTGAGAAAGGAGATGAACGTAGCTGAGTAGGCGGCCAGTAGCACGACAGCCGCCAGAGAGGCGCTCAGGAACACCAGACGGCAAGGCCATGACCACGTCCACCCGTGACCTGTCCAAGTTAATGAAGTTCACTTCGCACGGGAACTAATATAAAATACGAAGAAATCCGCCTTCTGGGATGTGGCGCCGTGTAGATCTTGTGTGAATCCAGGTTTCGGAGGAAATTATTGCCTCTATCTTCAAGGTAGGAAAATTATCGTGCGAGGATCCAGGGTGAGCAGGTGGCTGAAGACTAGACCAGTCTGCAGCCACTTGATCACGCTGAGACGTCCTCCAAATCTTCCGTTCACACAGGATCTATACAGCCTCACATCCCAGAAGACGAAATTCTTCATAGTCACCGAAGTGACAAACCTCCGATCTTACTTAAATAAAACAGAATAAAATATAGAGACTCCTCTGAAATGTAGCAACACATTTTTAGCGAAGATTAGAAATTCTGTCTTCTGAAATTGGACACCGTGTAGTCCGATAAAAGTATTGCATCCATCTTCAGGATCGAAAAGTGAGCCCATTTACCAAAGAAGCAGAGTCACCAGGCAGATTGGTATAGCCGTAACGCTATAGACTCTTCGTTGGGAGATGGCCCATTAAAATCTCGGCCGGGACATGGGTATTTCAGTTAAGTTTTATTGTGGTTTTACTCAGGTCATCCAGATATTTTTCGGTCAAAATATTTCGATGAGAACATGGCGGCCACCTGATACTGAACTCTGATCTCTGCTGTGAGAATCCAGCGTCTAACGGCCCGAGAGACGTGGCAGAACACAAGAATTTCAAAATGTATAATCATCCTTACGCCTAATGACCAGAGTCTAATTCCATAAAGGCAAGGCTCCACGTCCTCAACACTGGATGACTTTGAGTTGCCAGCCTCCCTCTCCTGACCTTTATATTCGGAGACAGAGAATCCGAGTCCAGTGGCTGCAAATTAGATTAGCACCACATGTGTTACTGCTGTGGAGGTGAAATTATTCTAAATATACCAGGATTCTAGTAGGCGAGGTCTAGTTTGTCGCTATGCTTTGTGAGCTTATCCGACTGGATATACAGAAACGCGTTATTATAGCAAAATAAGTCAGATATGAGCCAGTGGGATGCAGATTTTTATCAAAGCCGAGCTTTGTTATTTTGTGCAAAACATTATCCTATGTTGTCCAACTAATGAGGGTACAAATATATTGCTGCAAGGCTAATTGTATGCGCTACGTTACATAGAAGCAGATATTAATTGTACTTAATTAAACATTCGCGACATAAAAATTATTTAAATATGAGTTACAAAATGTTAATATATTTATGTACATGTTTTAGATTAATATTTCTCCCAGGTTTCAGTGAAATACATATATACAGTATAGTTATTGACTAATTTTTTTTTCCTTGGTACTACAGCCTCAGT